ATATATATATCTGATTGTAAAGATCTTCTACGTGAACAGAACTTAAAAAATGTTGAATACAAACAAAAAAAAGATGAAATATTAATAACTATCAATGGTACGCTTTGGAATAATCATTTCTTAAATGGGAAATTGATTTCGTTTTGACTTGAAAAAAAAAAGAGAAGACGAAGAGTAGGAGGACCACCGTTAAATTGATGATATGTAAATTTTAGGAGAACAAAAATGATGTGATTATATGGCTTTATGTTATATTTTGATTGGTCATTAAAATCTGAGTTTTTTGTTGATGTGGCAACTCCAAAATGCTTAAAAGTGCTAAGATATCTTCTTTTGGAGAGACACTTGTGTTATTATAGTATTGATTCCCTATACTATTAGGAAGGAAAGTGAGTGACATGAAATCTTTATTACATATAAATGGTAAAAAAATATAAGGAATGAATAGGAATGTGATGTTTACTTTGATATGGAAAAATCCTATTAGATATTTAAAAAGATTTACTTTTATCTTTTATTTTAATAATTATGTTAGTTTAACTTTAAAAAAATTCTTGTAAGCTAATTGTTCCAAAAAAGAATCATATAATTTTGTTAAGAAAAAATATCCTTTTTGGCTTTTTCCCTACAAATACGTCTTTTAAGAATATTATTGTTCAAAGTCTTTGCTGTATCTTGAATCATCTCTGGATCTGGTGAGTTTTTTTTTTTTTTGTTGTTGCTAAAATCTGGTGTGTTTCTTTACAATCTGGTGATAAACCGATATGGTTGATAATTGCTAGAATGAAGTAAAACGTTTATTGAAAATTTTCAACTTGTTGCAGTTTGAAAGAATGTCGATGACAATCTCCAATCTTCAAAGGGATTTGATAGAGGAAATTCTTTCTAGGTTCCTTTGAGTTCTATGCGACTAACTTGCAACAATTGGAACAATTTATCGAAAAATCGAAGCTATACGAAGCTGCACATTGGTAAATTAGGAGAAGCAGCAAGGGAAGGTGAGTCTCAGATGGTCCTGATGATGGATAACAGTCTTTTTTTAATGAGTGTCGTCGTCGATGACGATGAATCATATACAGAGTGTAAAGGCAAGCTTACTTGCCTTGAGGAACAAGTAAATATATCTCAAGTCTTTCACTGCGAGGGTTTATTGTTATGCATCTTGAAAGACGATTGTACTAGGTTTGTGGTTTGGAATCCGTATTTAGGGCAAACAAGATGGATCGAACCGCCCACCAAACGAAGAAGAGGAGTTCAATTATGCTCTCGGATACGAGGATAAGAAATCTGGTCGGGGTCGCCACAAATTGTTGAGGTTTATAGAAGAGGAACAATTTTCAGCGTATGAAATCTACGATTTGGACTCTGATTTGTGGACAAGTGTTGATGTCCATCCACACTGGTTGATAATGACTTGTAGCCTTGGCGTTTCTCTCAAGGGAAACACTTACTGGGGTGCTGCAAAAAAGAGCTCAAACATACCTTACGTCGATCACATAATCTGTTTTGATTTTACAAGCGAGAGATTTGGACCGCTTTAAGGATGGGTATGGTGACTCTGTTTTGTGTTAAAAGAAGAGAAGCTTGCTGCTTTATTTCACCAAAGCCAACACTATGGCCCACCCCAACCGCTGGAGATTGAGATATGGGTCCACACACTGACATTCCCATTGATCTTGTCCAAGGGGGTTTCTTCATTGACGAGGTGAAGAAAGTCGCCATGCTTTTTGGTCCCAACAGAGTTTTCATGATCCGTTAGAGTTGTGAACCTCAGAAAACCTGCCGTCGCCAACGTTTGTTATGTTCCAAGTGCAGTGCAAATCAAGCAACCGAAAGGAAAAGACAAGGCAGTTTAGAAAGCCGTCGATAATTTATGTCTTCCATGTTTTGCTCTTCTTCTTTTGATTGATTTTGATGTTTATTTGATATTTTGTTTATGGTAAACAATAATAGTGTTCGATCAATTCAGACCTTTATTATTTATCAGTCAAGAATTTAACTCTAATTAATCATGTTTTTGCTCTTGTATCTAGAGACAGAGTTATTACCTTGGTCACCATGACGTGAAATGTTTTGTATGCACATTGATCATATGCCCATACAAATTGAATATCCATAATCATTTATCATATTTAAACGATCAAATACTATATGTTAACAGCTTAAACCATAACAGATTTTCGTAGTATCATTCTATTTACACTAATAACATTTTTTGGAGATATAACACCACATCTGAATTTGATTCGGATAAAATGACCTCTTTCTTTCCATGAATACATAGATCAATAGTATCATTTTATCGCATAAAATTTTTATGAATCAAAGCAAGCAGAGTAACAAGAATGTCCTCTTTCTTTAATGGGTTTTTTTGCAACATTACAAATACAATGGGACTCTCCTCATCAAAACACACACATGATTGATGTATCATCTGTCTCAACGAGCACCATCACTCATCTCTTTATGTAAAGCTGCTTCGTGTTCTAACTCTGTCTATAAGCATCTGCCTTCCTGAAAGATCTTCCTCGTAACCAACAACCTGTAAACATTTCTTGTGAGTTTTTAAGTATAACCAGACGCGTGAAAGCTTTTATTACGGAATACCCAAGTATTTCCAGAGTAAAGAGTTATATATAACCTGCGATTCTGTCTGCGTCTCACTAAAGTTTCCATAAGTGCCTGTAGTATCTCCTGGAGGATTGAACACGTCGTCATTCTTCAGGGTCCTGAAAAACACATCAGAGTTTGGTAGGTGAACAAGAATTCTTACATGAGCAGCATTTAATATTAAGACAGTTTTAGTCTCAGATCATTATTATTGAACACTCCCTCCATACAGAATAGTCATGCTACGGTATTATACGGATATATCAGGTAATAGCTATAAATTTAGGGGTTCAAGAACTTAAACATCAAGAAAACTTGTGTCCCTCGAATTCCTTATGATTCATGGCCTTTGAGGTTGATACCAGAAATACCTGTTAAACCGGTGTGTCGAGAGGCCAGTGACAGAGTTGACGCTGTTGTATTGTTCACTAGGTGATAAAAACTGTTATAACGTCAAGGAGTCGAACTATTCCAAATATTAATAATTGAGTGGGGAAACAAAAATAGGCTACAAGGATACTGTTTTTTCTGAAGTCCTCCTCTCAGGAGAGTTCTGATCTTGAATCTAAACACAGAAAACCAGAGGTGAATACTGAGAAAATATGACTGGGAGTAAAATAATTGGAGAAACAAGCAAATAGTACTCACTTTAAATGTCTCCACCAACAGATTCTCGATAGTATCAGCCACATCTGGAACTTCACGACCACTTGCTACATCATTTCCAGACACAATGCCATCTCTGGACTTCAAAGGGCGAGCACAATTGCTAGGATGTTCTCCCACAGGAAACAAACCACTTTCTTGACCATCTCTCAAAAGCTTTGCCTTCTTAGACGGAAAACTTTGTTGCCTTTCAATTTCTCCAAGATCGTTGTTTACTTCACCTTTACCGAGGCCATTTTTTTCAGCAAAACTTTGAGTTCTTTCCCCGTCTTCAGAGTGGCTTACAAGCAGAGACCCATTCCCCCTTGAGGCCATTGGCACAGACTGTGTATGAAATTGACTTGTCAAGCCAAACCCTGCTTCTCGGTCTTGAGTGGTCAATTCCTTTGGATGGAAATTGTCTGAAGAAACCACTTGATTCTACACATGAGAAAAACAAAAAGGACTATCCGTTAAATTTAAAGATCCCATACCATAGAAACTATTTCAAATACATAGGCCCACCTGTTTAACACATTCATAAACCCAGTCAGAAGTCACAGAAACTATTCCCCACTGGGAAGCTCTCTCATACTTGGGTCCGTTGGCAAAGTTGCATAGCAAATGAGTCACTTTCTTGGTCAGTTTTTCCACAAATTTTGCTCCAAGAACAAAACACAAATTTCTCAGGAGTATTCGATCCTTCTCTTCATATTGGGAACTACAGAAGCGAAGGCTTTGGAATCCAGGCAAAGGAGTCTGGCAGGGAAGAGGTGAGTAGAGCATATGGCTACTAACATCAAGTAAACAACCATCCTACATCACCAAGATAACAACTTACAAAATAAGCCCGATTAATAACGCATAAATAAGGATTGAAAGCGCATAATAGAAATTAGAAGACGACAGATACAAATCAAGTTTATTGAAAGGCTGATGTAAACATAAAGGTTTAAGTGAATGATGGTATAGCAGTTGGACACAGAGTACTCCAGAATAAATGATATAACCAGTAGATAACAGATGAACACTGAGAAGAATAATACCTCTAAACAAGATCGAACCCAGTGACTCGAGACATGAATAGTTTGTCTAGTCCCAGCACTCCGTAATACACCATGGCATTCAATATTAAAATCTGCTTTGTTTATAACAGGATAATTTACCACCTCTCCCCCTCCTTGATTCACCCATTCCACGATTTCAGGTCGCTGCACAATAAGGTACCGCATCAATCAACTGACCTCAGGAAACTAATGGAAGACAAGGAAAGCCTGATCTTCAAATTACCACATACCCTATCTTTGGGAAAAGAATGCGAGAAACAAAATGTCTTCCCCTCAAATACCGATGACTTTCTTTCTTGCTTGTTCTGATCACTGAATTCAAATTGAATTTTTTGTTGTTCTTTGCTTTTACTAGTTACAAGAGAACTAAGTGTTTCTTTTTGCTTGGGTGATACTATTTTCCCTTCCGCATGAACCTCATCTTTCCTGTCAAATTCCAGTATTGCTTCTTCACTCTTTCCCAGCAAAGTTGCTGCCCCATTTGAGAAATTGATGCTTCTAGAAGAGGAATCATTTCCTATGGTCTGAGGAAGAGTCTGTTTACCCTTTTCCATCCCTGCAAGCGATCCCTTCGTCAAGCATGCAAAATCTGAGGAGAAAAAAACAAGTCAGTTAGAGAAATGTATTACAATACATTGATATGTCTTGATGCATCTTGGATAGATGGCATGTGCTTGAGATAATTAAGAAATGGTGAATATGAGATAAAGGAGACCTCTTGGAAGAATTAAGTTGTAAGCAGTATATATTTTATGAATGGGAAGTTCTTTTTTCTCGCGATCACAATCTTCAAGCCAAGTGGGAGTGACTACTTGAATGACACCAGAAGCTGCAACACTCCTAACTTCCCTTTTCTCACTGTTAATGAATATTTCATGTAGATATTATAATCTTACAGATAATATTATGCTTAGAAAAACCATCCTAAGAGATCTCGATCAACGCTACAAGATAATGAAGGCAAAATCACTTTGGAAGTGAAAAGATTGGAGTTACCTCTCTGAAGGAGTTCCAACAACAATATGTGTCATTCTTTCGTTAAGCATCATATACCGAGATCCACCACCTCTACGGACCAACTTAACAAGTCTACGCATTTCAGAAGCTTCAAAACCTAGCAGGAAAATTCTACAATCTGATAAGTACAGGTCATTGTCTTCGGATTCTGAATCCCTGGCAGTAGAACCATCAATATTTTGCTCTCTCAGCTTTGTAGTTGGGGCTTCACTTGGTTCTTTAACATCGGTACTGGGATTCATAGATCTGGAAGAAACATTTTGTGAAGCAGAAGCTTCTATGTCAGAGTCCCTAGACTGAGCAAAAGAAGTATATGAATCCGTTGCAGCCGCAGCCGAAAGCGACAGTGATATTGGACATTCAGGAAACTTTTCTTCACCATTATGGTTCCCCAAATGTCTCACCCCTCTATTCAGGGGTATGGAACCAAGAATAGGATATGACTCTTCATTGAGACAAACTGCACATAAAAGGGTGACATATCAGTATTGAAGGAATCTGCCAACTTACAGAGAACCAAAACAGTACGAGAATGCAAAGGATGTAGAAGCGCCAAACGTCACCTTTTCTAGCAATGGACTGCTCAAACCATTTACGTGTAACAATTTGAATATGACCCCACTTCCGAGCAACTTTGTATTTGTCGCCTTCAGCAGCGTACGCAATGTCAAGGACTCAATTTTCATTTAATTCCAAACTATGAAATCTCAAATTTTAGTGCGAATTTAAGGAACTTTTAAGGCATCTACATTTCAAATCTTTAGAGACCCGTTAATCAAACCATGACTACTGCTAATTTATCAGCACAATTCAATGAACCCAGAAAATCACCATAGGACATATGACTAGCAAATTATCAAATCTGATTCAAAGGATATATCAGCAATCAAATGTGTACACCTCTTTGTTAGCTCAGCAGAGTACTTCCCTCCATATTCTGAAATTTGCGTCTGCATTCCCTTACGCTCATCTGGTAACAAATCACTGATTAACCATCAACATAAAGAACCTGATTCACAAATTGAATAAACCGGTTTTCTAACCTATTGGAACTTTTGTGACACAGATTGTCAATCCAGAAAAAGGAGGAATCTTGTATGGTTCCTGGGGAACCACACGGTGCTCATTCCAACACTGATGTAACCAATGCAGTGTAACAATTGGCTTCTGTATATTCAGGGCCCACTGCAAGTTAAGAAAACCAAAAAATCTATTTAGCTGTCACCATGAAATAGGCATAACTGGTTTTGGAACAGCTTCCACAAGACCCTCATCAGTTCACTCTGCTTCAGGATATAATACACAGTGATAAGTCATCAGAGGCACGAGACTGATCCAAATTAATCTCAGAAAGCAAAGTCGAATTGTTTCACTTTATGAACTAAACCAGCATTGGAGCTAAGTATTATTTAGATCATTCAGCTACTATCTGATAATTAGGGAGGGTGACAACAACTTATAATTTGAGGGCTTCACTATAGAAACAATATTCAATAGGGAGGGTAACAACAACTAACAATTTGAATAAAGTAAAGAAGATATCGATAAGAGATCAATGAGAATCAACAGAAGGTAAAAGAATATAGATCACAATCTTTGAGCAATAGACCTTGTACTTGCTAGCCAAGACATTCTTCACAATGATGAAGTTAACATCTGAAGAAGATCTGGCAAGCAAAACTCCCCCCATGGAAACAACCAACTCTTCGATCTTGACCTTCAAAATAGTTGCAATCCACCAATTAGAGAGATCAGAGTAACTGAAAAAAGTTTCTCCAAACAGATATCATTTTTTGATATCTCCATGCTTCTTGCAATGTGAAAAGACATTTTCACAACTCGGAAACAAAGAAACACCAAATACAATGACATATGCACATTATTAATCTCATAAAAGATAGCTAAACCAACATAAAGTCAAAACCATTTCCACAGCAGATAAACGATATCTATTACCCTGTAGAAAAAAAAAGAAGAAGAAGTACCTTCTCCTCCATCCGAAAACCAGAAGCAAGAACTTTCAGACCATCCATAGCTAGGCAACAAGTGAATCCCCCTTGAGGTAGCTGTCTACCTTCTTTTGCACAAGAGAGCACACATTGCGGACCTGCCGCGCAATCAAAACATAACACTTGTTAAGCACATTCACGAACACAGGACTCAATTTGGTTTCAAGTAAGAAGAAGAAGAATTAATATCTACATCTCACCTATCAAGTTACAACCCTTAGCTTTAAGATACTTGAATTTCTCCTGCAATGGCATAAACACGAAGAGAGTAATAACAAAAATTCTTACTAAAAATACACCCAATTGCGATTGAAATATGAAATAGAATACACACATGACCGGAAGAAGCGATGACGTGAAAATCCCAGGGACCGTTCCGGGAAGGATCGCAGCAGAGGAAGATTTCGGCACCGTTAAGCTTTAAAGCATCGAGAAGTGTGTCGAATACTTCAGGAGGAACCAAATTCCGAGACATGAACACATTTGCCCCTTTGAACAGTTGCGTCGTCTTCATCGCCGCCGGAAACCTAATAATCCGATTGTTTAAGAGATTTTCACGGGGGTTGTAAGAGGAAATTGAAACCCTAGAATCGGAGGAAGAAGACGGAATCGTGTAGCCACCAGATGCGAGGTAAACCGGCGGGGTGATTGGGGAAGAGAGAGTGGCGCATCAAATCGGGACGCGGGAATGGTCAGTGAGATTAATTAATTTTCACATTTTTGATTTATTTTTCTCGAGGGCTTTTTAATTGTTTTATGACGTCAGATCATTTATCCCTGATTACAAGTTAATTATGTCACGCTCGAAATTCAAAACTCTAATCATTTTGTATGTTTTTACTCAAATTTGGACTCGACCAGTTTTAGCGATTTGAAAACTCTCAGTCAACCAAAAGACAAAAAACGAACTTCTCTTAAATCTTTGATTTGTACAGAGGAGGGAGAGAGAGGACGTTGTATTCTACGTAAGAAAAGACTAAGAAAATCATAACTAGGAGCAAAATTAGAAGCGATAGTAGAGCTACGAAGAACAAAGGCAAGTCTAGAGCCAGACTTTGCCTACAGAAACTAAGCCAGAGTACTTAACTTGTCAGGTTCAGGTCCGGAGGAGCCTGTGTCTGTTGCCTCAGAGCCAGAACGAGATGTTTCTCTGCAGGCAGGCGAGATTCTTCTAGACCTGCGTCTGTCTTTCTTCTGACTTTCTTTGCTTCTGTTGAAGGGTTGCTAGAGCTTGCGGTTCCCTTTAGTTTCTCGAGTTGCTGCTTCGACCTATCACGGGGAGGGTCTGCTGTAGGTTGACTGTGGACTAAGGACGTGGTGGTTGCGCTTGGGACAACACTTGTTTTATCTCCAACAGCTGTATCGTTGTCGGCGGGCTCTGATTTTGGTACACATTGTGTATGTTTCTTCTTTGTCATCTTCGTTTGATCCTTAAACAAGACAAGAGGTGAGGAATGGCACAAAATGAGAGAAATGGGTGAGATCATGGTTATGACGTACAAAGTTAGAGAATTTTAGCAAATACCATCTCCTTTCCAATGTTCGGATGCAATGCTCTCCGCCTTTCTTTCGCCCGGCAAATGGCACGCTTGATCTCATGATTGTCCATTAACTTATTTGGCCAGAGTTCAGCTAGCTGGAGCATGAATAAATCCAAAAGAAAATCAATCAGGAAGATTCGATAAACATTCATGAATAAGTCTAGTGATTTTGAATGAACATGGAAAGCAAATAAACCATGAGTGCGAAAAGATAAGGTAATGGAGAGGAACTTACACTTGCGTAAAGCTTTCTGACTTGTGAACCTGAGTCTTCATCCAATCCCTAGTATTACCAAAAACACAAGCACAAACTATGTTTACACTTCAACTCTGGATCTAATTACACTTCAACTCTGGATCTAATAAAACATTGTTATGAAAGGTTGTCAAAATGCAAAATCTCAATTACATCAATAAAGATGTCATATAGATCACACAGTTTGTCCTCCAGTGCCGTATTCATGACAAACTTCTTCGTCAAAGGTGGCTTTTCAACAGAACCAACATCCTGAAAATCGTCTGATGTTCCAGCTTCTTGATTGGTTGCCTGTGAAACAATTTATGTTAGTGCAAGGAATTCTTCATAATATCAGATCCGGCAAGAAAGAAAAGAACAAAAGTATCTATGCAAAACACCGGATAAGAAACCCTTTGAAAATCAGATCAGTGAAACTAGTAGGGTAAGAGAGAGAACCTGAGTATCCATCAAAGGAACTTGTGTTTTCAACATCTCAATAACTTCATTCTTAATCCGTTGAAATCTAGTATCTTTTTCTCGATTTGCAGAGTCGCCGGAATCCATCATGATTTTCAAGTTCCTCTGTAACAATAAACATTACTAAACCGTAAGAGCTTCAGTGTCTTCTCTAATAAGTGCTCTTTTTGAAATGGAAGAGCTTCACCTAACAAATTCTAACTACTCTAATGCCTCAGTAAGAATCATAACTCAATTCCAATGACAAGTCTCAGTATACGGGAGATAGAGATGATTACCTTAAGTGATCGGACCTGTATTAGATGACCGACAATGCTCATGAGACGATTGATTAACTCTCCCGATATATTCCCTTGGCTCCCCTGCTCAAGAAAATAACATCTCTAGTCTTTTTCATACCTCTGGAATATTATTATTTAAAATATAAAAAAAAACACAGAATACTTTGATTACCCCAATCCTAGCAACTTTAGCAAGCTTCAATTTTACGTCACTTGGCAATCTCCTCTTCACTGCTTGGGATGCGGTATCGGCATCTTGATTCTCAGTGGCCACAGGAGGCCTTGCTGCAATAAATTGGAAATTATAGTTTGCTAAACGGAATTATCTTGTCACGCATATAGAGAACAAGTGCTCAAACAGTTGAAACTCACATTCAGCGACCACCTTCTCCAATTCCCTGATGGCTTTCTCAAGTGTCGAGGTTTTAGGCCTGACATTAGAACCTCTTTTTTTCTGAATAGAGAAAGGTTATTGCAGAATTAAAAGAAAAACCAATGTAAAATGTGCGAGCAGAAAGCATTGAAGCGAGTCATAGCCAGGAGTATCAGCCTAGAGGAGATTAAAGCGGTATACTTAATGCAGTTGGAAAGTGTAAAAGTTGTTTGAATAGATTGTCTACTTACAGTTGCATTTTCCAGGTCATGCGTGCCATTTTTTTCTTTGTGACGGACTTCTGCTGATTTTGCCGAAACATTTGGCTGAGATTTTCCTGGCAGGGAATTAGATTGCTGATGAGCAACTTTGTTGCTACACTTCGGATTAAGATTGGCAGAAGGTCCAGCACCCTTTGACTTCGGACTTGTGGCAGTCCTTGGCTGATGATTTGCCTTATCAGTATGCTTCACATTTTCCAAAAATAAGGAGTCATTGCCATTTTGCGCTTTGGAAAGGGGAAATGAATCCGGCACTGCCTTTGAATCCTGCGCTGCCTTTGAATCACTGAAATTTTTCTTCGGAGAGGGCCCAGAAGCAGCTGACTGATCCTGAACTTTCACATTCATATAATCAATCATCTAGACTGGAATTCTGAAATGGATTCAAAACTTTATTTGCAAGCAATGGTGCTACCTTTCCCCCAGCCGTCTTAGCCATCTTGGATTGTTTCCTGGATACATCAACAACATCGCCGCAAGGTTTTGCTGACTCCTTCCTATGCCTTTTCTTTGGTTGCTGATTCAATGTTGTTGATGGTTCACTGTTGTAGATAGGAATCACAAGTTAGATAAACTGGTAAATGGAAGATAGTCTATTAATAGGGCAACTGAGAAAACTGAATCCTTATACCCACATTGATACGAAACACTATTTGTTGGGTAAGTCAACCTAATCAGTGCATTTTGACAGTAACCTACAGATGTTAGCAGAAAAAGTAGCAAGATTGCCAAGAATATCACTGCA